TCAGTCAAGAAGAAGATACTACAGCGACTCGGAAAGGCAACCTGAGCAAGCAGAGCGTAGGAAGGAAGCAGCCCGAGAGCCCAGAGCACAAATGAAGAATGCCCACACTAGAACAACATCGAAAACCCAACAAGTGTGGGTTGAAAAGACGCTGATAAGACCAGAGTCCACACAAAATGAGACCGTCGAATGCACAGAGCCAAGTACGAAGTCCAAACCAGCGGAGAAGAACGAAGCATCCGCCAGTGAACTACAAGCCAGGCCCGAAAAAACTCCAGTAGCCCAAGATTGCACCGAAATACCAATTAATAATACGAACCCTATGGAACAAAGAATAGCTTCAAATCAACAGGGCCGAGATATGGAATACAACGGGGCGGATGGGGAGAGGTCCCCGACTACACATACCACACATAACTCGCTGCCCTCACAGGTGGACACTTTGATGAGCATGGACTCAGGAGAGAATGTAGAGAGCGTTGCGCTGGAGAGTACCCCCATGGGGGTGCACCCAGTCACCACTCAATGAAACCCGGAACACCCTACCCTTCCCGACGGATATATGGATTTGAGAATTTTCACGTGGAATTGTAGGGGTGCGGGAAGCGATCGCTTCCTACGAGTGTTCAAGGAATACAAGAGGAAACATAGGCCTCATATGGTAGTCATCGTTGAGCCGAGAATTAGTGGGGATGATGCGACTAAGGTGATCAACCAGATGGGTATGGATAAGTTTTTCGTGGTAGATGCCGCAGGCTTTTCAGGAGGAATATGGCTGCTGTGGGACGAGTCGGTGGTTCTGATTAATGAAAAGGACCGCACAAACCAATTGCTTCATGTCCAAGTCCAAATGGGGCCTATCCATTTTCTGTTCACGGCAGTGTATGGGAACCCGGCATTAATCCAACGACGGGCTTTATGGGAGTCTTTACGATCGATGGCAGAGGAGGCTGAGATGGCGTGGATATTAGCAGGCGATTTTAACTCGATGTTGAGCTCCTCTGAGAAGTTTGGGGGTGCCCCGTTTGATGCTAGTAGAGTGAGGGAGTTTCAGGATTGTTTGTTGGATACTGGCCTGGTCGACTTGGGGTTTGTTGGTCCGCCTTTCACTTGGTTTCGTGGGGGAACCAAAGAGCGACTTGACCGCGGCCTAGCAAATCTACGGTGGACAGATCAATTCCCGGACGCGACGGTGCGTCATCTGCCTCGGATCAAGTCGGACCACCGACCACTGTTAATACGCACGTGCCCAGAATTCGCAGCGTCGGGACCCAAGCCATTCAAATTCCTGGCGTCGTGGCTGGCCCACAAGGAATTCCCTGAGATGTTGAAGAAAGCATGGGTGAAAGGGACCGATCCGAGAAGCAGCTCCCAAGCTTTTGCGCGAGACGCCTCCCATTGGAATAAGCATACCTTTGGGAACATCTTGCGGCGAAAGGACAATTTGATTTGGCGGATAGAGAAGCTCGAACAACAGTGGGGCGGAGATTCGGAGCAGGGACAGCTTCCTGCACTCCGAGTGGAATTGGAAGAGGTGCTTGCTCAAGATGAAATTTTGTGGCGTCAGAAGTCTTGTGTTGACTGGGTGAAGTGGGGCGATCTTAATACAAAATATTTTCATGCCCGAACGATACGCAGAAGGAAGCGAAATCGCATAGTGGCCCTCAAAAATGCACAGGGAGAGTGGGTGGAGGATCAAAACAGCCTGAGCCAAATGGCGAGGCAGTATTACATCGTCTTATTTACTGATGAGGGCTCGCAATCTTCCCCCATGATGCATGGTTTCATGCTCCCTCCAATGCCGCAATGGGAGAAACTGGGAGAGGAGTTCACAGTGGAGGAATTGAAGTCAGTAGTTTCGATGATGGGTCCCCTCAAGGCGCCGGGAAGGGATGGACTCAACCCGCTGTTTTACCAGCGGTTTTGGGATGTAGCAGCTCCAGCGGTGCATGAATTCGCAATGAAATGCTGGGTGGAGCCGCCGAGAATTAGGGAGCTCAACGAGACAATCCTTGTTCTTATTCCCAAGGTTAAAAGGCCAAGTCAGATTGATCAATTCCGACCGATCAGTCTATGTAACGTCGCCTACAAGATCATAACCAAGTGCCTGGCGGAGAGATTGAAACCGCTCATGCCATCCCTGGTGCATGAAACTCAGACGAGCTTCGTACCAGGAAGGCACATTACTGACAACATTTGTGTTTTGCAGGAAGTTGTTCATTCTATGAGGGCTAAAACGGGACGATCTGGTTGGATGGTGATAAAGGTGGACCTTGCCAAGGCCTACGACCGGATCAGATGGAGCTTTGTGAGAGATACCCTAGAGGCTGCTGGATTGCTAGAGAAGTTCACAGAATTAACTATGCAGTGCATCTCTACGGCAAGAATGCAAATTCAGTGGAATGGCGGGCTGACAGAGGAATTCTCGCCGTCCCGGGGACTACGACAGGGATGCCCTCTCTCTCCATATATTTTCACACTGTGCATGGAGAGATTAGGGCATTTGATCCAGAACGCAGTGGAGGAGGGGAGCTGGAGACCGATCAAACTCTCTAACTCAGGTCCGGTACTATCACACTTGTTTTTTGCTGACGATCTCATACTGTTTGGTGTGGCTTCCGCTGCGCAGGTCCAAGTCATAAACCAGGTCTTCGAAACCTTTGGGAGAGCCTCGGGGCAACAGATTAGCAAACCCAAGTCAAGAGTTTTTTACTCGAAGAATGTGACCACTGCTACGCGAGACTCGCTCAGTAACAGTCTTGGCATACTGCAGACGTCAAACTTAGGCCGTTATTTAAGGGTCCCGGTCATTCACGATAGGGTATCAAAGACAACATTCCAGGACCTGGTCGATAAGATTGATGCCAGATTAGCAGGGTGGAATGCCTCGGCTCTGTCCTTAGAGGGACGCATCACCCTGGCACAATCGGTATTAGCTTCGCTTCCTGCCTACACGATGCAGACGACTCTACTTCCAGCTACTGTCCTAGAATATATTGACAAGAAAATCCGAGCCTTTGTTTGGGGCAGCTCGGAGGCTGGAAGGAAAATCCATTTGATAGACTGGCAGACGTTGTGCCGGCCGAAGGATGAAGGAGGACTCGGAATGCGCGATGCGAGAACTTTAAACGAAGCTTTTATGATGAAAATTGCATGGAGGCTAATGAAGGAGCCTGATAGCTTATGGGCGAGGGTGATTAGGGGGAAGTACCTACGTAAGGTGGGAGACTCCATTATTCCGAGGACGTCGGGAAGACTCTCCAATCTTTGGAGGGGTGTCTTGCGAGTGTTACCTCAAGTCCCGGATGCAATCTTGTGGAATGTGGGGAACGGGAGACAAGCTAAGTTCTGGACGGATTGTTGGCTAACGGATGGCCCTGTACTAGCTGACCAGGTGGCGAACTTTCCCCAGGAGGCCCTCTCCTTGACCGTGGCTGAGATGGTCCTGAACGGGGAGTGGAACTTGGACTACATCCGGGCCTTCTTACCCACGAGTGTGGTCGAACAGATCAAGTTGCATGGGGTGCCTCAGGAAGAGCGCGAGGATGAAGCGATTTGGCGGTTCACAGCGGATGGAGTCTTCTCGTTGAAGACTGCCTACGAATTTCTTGACAGTGCAAGCCTGCCCATGAACTTTCATTCTCTGTGGAAGACGGTTTGGAGAGTCCCAGCTATGCAGCGAGTCCGTACATTTTTATGGCTGGCAGTTCATGGTAGGCTTCTTACCAATTCAGAGAGACGACGGCAACACTTGACAACAGTGGACATATGTCAGGTTTGTGGTGGGGATGGAGAGTCGGTGATCCATGCCGTCAGAGATTGTCCATTTGCTAGAGAGGTTTGGTCTACGTTCCTGGATAACGAACAAGACGCTATCTTCTTCCAAGAGGATGTGAGGAAATGGTTCCTATACTACTTAAAAGGGAAGAGTGAACAGTTGGATGCCTCCACCTTTGCGGTCGTGTGCTAGCTCCTCTGGAAGAATAGAAATTATTTAGTTTTCGAGAAGAAAATGACCGCGGCTCCTCAACTGCAGCACACAGCACGGAAAATACGTGGACAGGTCGGAGAAGCGTTGCTGGGAGACGAGATACATGGAGATGGGAGCAGAGCAAGAGAGTGGAGGATGATAGGCTGGAGCTTGCCCCCGACGGGATGGTGCAGCGTCAACACTGACGGGTCTGTGATGCTCGCTAGCCAGAGCTCGACGGCTGGCGGGGTGATCCGAGACGATCAAGGAAGGTTCCTGGGTGCATTTACTATGAATCTAGGGGGTGGTTCCATTACTCGAGCGGAGCTTATGGGAATGCTACAGGGGTTGAAGCGAGCATAGGAGCTGGACGTGAAGAAGGTGGTCCTCCTGACGGACTCTAGAGCGGCCATTGAACTGCTAGAGTCGGCTACGTCATCTCACCCACATTACCGTCTGGTGGTACAATTGCGGCAGATGATTCAACGGGAATGGGAGGTACGAGTCGAGCATACTTTCCGAGAGGGGAATGTGGTAGCGGACTTCCTGACATCTACGGGACACAACTTACCTTTGGGCCTGCACCTAGTGTCCATTCCCAGCCCTCAACTTAATTACTGGTTGTTTTTCGACCTTGTAGGGAGCCAAACTCCTAGACTTATTCCCCTTTGATTTTTGGGCGCAGTGCGCCCTCGTACTACCGGAAAAAAAAATACTAAGATTATTTTCAATTCATTAATAAAATATCTAAAAAATCCAAATCATTAAAAAATAATACTTTTATTAACATAAAATAATAATAAATAAAATAAAATTCATCGGACCAACCTTAAATCCGATAAAATCTATTACATAATAAATTAATATAATTAAAAGCGATAACTGTGGCCTGTGGGACACATTCACTACCTAAGCTATCTCAAGACGAGAAATCTTCGCCATTTGAGTATTTGACTACATGATAGAAGTAGCAAACGACGTCGCTGTGGCATGATCAAGCGGTGGTGGCGGCGGCGCATTATGGCGACTCCTAGTTCATTTCGTTCATTAATGGACAGTGGCCGGTTCCGCCGGGAGTGTGGCCGCAAGGGGAAGGTTTAGACGGCGTAACTGGACCTCTCTGGAGAGACTGATGAATCCGCAGAAAGCTTTCTCCTCGCCATTTCTGCTTATCTCCATGCAATGGCCGCGCAGCAGCGACACCATGAAAAGCGCCAGCTACCAGCACCAGAAGTACTATGGTTATCGCCATGACGAATGTGAAGTTATTGCTAAAACCTGTCATGTTGATATTCTGTTTTTTTTTTTGGTATGGACAGAGGAGAAATCAAGTAAGAAAAATATTGTGGGTTTTAATGATTCTGGCTTTTATGTAAAAAATGAAGAATGAATTAAAGCATTAAAAAGGTTGTTTGTATTTATAGGGAGCTAGGGGAGTTGCCTGATTTGATGGGGAAGGAGGGAGGAAATGGTTGAGATGTACAGATTTCCATGGTTAGCTAGCTCTTGGGGTTGAATTGTATAAATTACGTTGATGATCATCAGATGATGGTGATGCGAGTGTAGACCAGAGATAAAGCTGGTGAATGGGGTTTGATTCACTTGGAGTGTTTGCAAAATCTTACTGTATCGACGGTTTGACGTAGGGGTGGGAAACAGTCCGGTCCGGACCGGATTAACCCAGTTTTTTGAAACCGTTTTGACAAATACCCCAAGTGGAGACGACATTGGATGGCATCCTATTTCAACGGTGACCGGATTGGGTCCGATCCGATTTTAAACCAAAAACCGGGTTGACATTAATACCCTAGAAAAAACGTTGCCGTTTGGAGAAAAATGGAAAAAATAAAAAAAAACAAAGAAATAAATAAGTCAGAAGAGGGATCTTTGCTTCCTCCACTTCTCAACCGTCCATATCTTTCTCAATCTCTCTCTCTATTCTGGAAAATCACAAATTCCTACTCTTTCTTCTTTCTCGATCTTTCTTCCGTATCCCTCTTCTTCTCCATGAAATCTCTCCCCCATTGCATGCAAACCCAAATCGTTTCTGAAACGAACGGTGGAGTGGCGGAGATCATCACCATCATCGGCTATTGTCTTTGTTTGTGCCTTCTGCCTCCTTGCCACCGCCGTCGTCGCGTGCAGGGGATCCGGAGAGCTCCTTGACTCCTTCATCGCCGTCGTTGTCGCTTGCAACCACTTCGGCGAAGTTCGGCGGCCTTCGTCGCCCAGTATATCGCAGAGGAAAGTGGGACGGATCAGGGAGATTGAGGAGGGATTTGGCTAGTTGGAGAGGGGGTTGATGGAGGGCTGGAAACGGTGTTATAAAACGTAGAGAGAGATCGACATGGTCAGAGAGAAGAGAAGGAATCGTTCGAGAGTAGATTGATGGAGGCGGTGGAATAGCTGCTGCAATTTTAAGGTTTGTGGCCAGGAGGAGATGCAATTTAGGGTTAGGATAAGGGTGTTTGCGGGCTGGGGTTCGCTGGCGGGCTGGGAGAGTTGGGGTAGTGGGCTTTAACAGGAAGACTGGGCTGGGCTTTATTATTTACCATCCGGTTTATCCAGTTTTAACCGGACTGGACCGACCTAGTTTTTTATACCACCATTGTAACTGTAAATTGGATTGGGTTAATGGGTATCCGGTTTCCGGTTGCAACTGAAATGGTTTTAACTGGCCGGTTTCTGGTTTAACCAAAAAACTGGAACCGGATTCCCAGTCCTAGTTTGACAGGGAAAACTATTTATTGTAGTCCAGATCTATACAACGTTTTACAGGGAGTCCCTGCTAATTACATGGCGAGTTGGGTTAATTCATTTCATGTGGAGATATCCATGGTGTTGCTAGTTTGACTGGAGCTAGGGTTTGCCGTGTTAAATGTGCTAGATATAGATGTATTGCACAAGACCAAGGGAAACCTCCAAAGTTCATTACTCAGCAACTTCCTGTGTATATATGGTGGACTTGGCAACGACTTACGTTAGTTTTTCTTTGTTCTTAATTTGGGGAGCTGGCGATGAGTCATGAGTCGACATTTAGATGTTTGAACAAATGTGGTTACCTCAGGCCAGTGCGGCAGTGCCCACACCACCGTGATAGAGAAATATAATTGATTTAACATTTATTTTCTTATTAATTACAGTATTCCTCCAGTCCAAGTTATGAATTTTTGTTTCAGCCGTGCATAATCATGCTAGAAACCTCGGAGCGGGAGAGGGGAAGGAGTAAGCAAACAAGTTAGTCAAAGATAAAAAATTGACCTCAGTCAACAATTGAATCCCTCTTAATAACTCGAGTTATTGAGACCGATTAATTCTTAATAATTTTTTTTATCAATGTATACGGGTTTTCCCATCAAAATAGTGAAGGGGTGTGCGTAAGCTGAGGACTAGCTCCTAGAGTAAATAAAATTATGTGTGCCATCAATGTGGGTGAAAGGACGTACTCGCCACTCGGTTGATAAAATATAAGTTATGAAACAAATGTCTATGCAGACGCTAAGGAAGAGGTTGGAACTCGATCGCCCCTTACGTGCACAAATGTCTAAACCAATTCTATTAATGAACTAGTGTGCGCCTGATGAATCGTAACCCACGATTCAAGGGTTTTGCTTGTAACTCACAAGCGAGAGAAAGACGTTGGTGTCTATAAACCTTTGATTTATTTGATTGATAAATCGGACTAATGCCGTGATTACAATATATAGGCGTCTAAACCTAATACGTAACCCTAGCTAACCTTAACTCTACTAACTTACCTAGCTAAACTCGGCCACCTAACCTAGAGGACTCCCAATTGGACTTACTAAGCCCATGCAGTAACAACGTAAACAACTAATACAACCCTTAATAATTGAACAAAAGCACATAAAGCATTAACCCCAAAGCCCAACATTTATTCTCATCAATCCTTCCCCCTCAAAGAACCTTGGTCCCCAAGGTTCGGTTCAATGCCGAGACGCGGTGGTCGACGACGGAAGCAACCGCAACTCTTGTGACGACTTCGAGACTTACATCGTTTTCGAAATTTCCAGCTCGCACTCCGTCCTCTAGTCTTCTTCCTCCTATCAGCTAGAACTCCCCGCGCGGCCGTTTGAGCACCAACATGCACAAAAATCCCTACGGTATAAACTCTAGCATGTGGACCAAATAGAAAGGTGTTTGAGGGTCTCCCACCCCGTACAGCATCTTGATCCCAAGAAAACTTTAACCTTGGACACTTATTTGGAGATTCAAGTACCGGCTGCTGCAATCCCATTATCGGACGACACAAGTCCAAACTTCCCGTGAGCGAACGCCGCGTTGATGGTGGTCTCTCGAGCCATCCGGGAAATTTCTCGCTTCCAACATCTACTTTGGCTCCAGGCTCCGTTGTTGTCGTCGTCATGCTCTTCCGCCCTTCTAGCTCATTGTCCATCTTCTCCTCCGCCACCCTGGTTTCGTTGGCGTCCACGCGGGTCACGTCGTCGTCGTTGCGCTCTCCTCCGGAGACGATTGCGCGGTAGGCGTTCAGCTCTCGTTCTCGGCAGAATGCCGTGAATCTTTCACGCGACTTTGCTAGCTGCGCACAAGCGACCTTGGTTTGCTGGAGTGCCATCTTTGCATTCCGCGCTAGAGCGCGGTACGGGCCTAGATCAAGAACCATGTTACCTTTCCCAGTAGGATGCGTAACCAGGCTCTGATACCAATTGATGAATCGTAACCCACGATTCAAGGGTTTTGCTTGTAACTCACAAGCGAGAGAAAGACGTTGGTGTCTATAAACCTTTGATTTATTTGATTGATAAATCGGACTAATGCCGTGATTACAATATATAGGCGTCTAAACCTAATACGTAACCCTAGCTAACCTTAACTCTACTAACTTACCTAGCTAAACTCGGCCACCTAACCTAGAGGACTCCCAATTGGACTTACTAAGCCCATGCAGTAACAACGTAAACAACTAATACAACCCTTAATAATTGAACAAAAGCACATAAAGCATTAACCCCAAAGCCCAACATTTATTCTCATCAGCGCCCGGCCAGTTGGCCGGAGGAAGGTGAGGTATGAAATTTGATAATATAATGTGTGTATAACTTATTGTTGTATAGTTTTTTTGGGAAACACGTGATAAAAATAGTGAATTTTAGCAGGAAAGAGACATGAATGATGCAACGAATAAAAAATGGGCCTTATGAACAAAAATCAAGTACCTGTTACCTTGTGAAACAATATTGTTTCTTGTAATATGATGAGGTGGAGTAAGTTTTATAGAAACCGAATTCCAGAAAATCGAATAAAAAATCGCCTATCCCGTCGGTTTTCGGGAAATGAGCATCTCACAATCGTTGCTAGCTTTTACTCGGCCCATTGGCCGATTAACTTGCTTTATAAAACTTTCATCTTGTCGTCATTGTGCTTTCTGGTTTTTGTCACGCCATGATAAAATCTAAGGGAATCAAAAACGAACAATACGATTTGGGATAGGAACCGCCATTGTCGTTTCCCTAGAAAATGGTGGTAAACACGGAATCACCTGCCAAACTGGTTTGGATTGAGATTTTTATCGGGTATCAGGAAACCATGTGATTATAAATTAGACTTGATCAAAACGGGCCAAAACTTGAAATTCAGCCTGTTTGACCGACCCATGCCAAATTCTAATTATTCTTTAATTTTAAACTTTCTATTTGAAAATAAAAAATAGTGAAAGAAAAGAGATGACTGCAATTCGCCATTTGCACATCACTTATTCGGGAATAAAACCATAGAAATTCAAAAGGAATTGAAAATTTTTAGGATCGTTTTAATGTTTAAAATAGGCAAAATACGGCTGTATATCCACAACTATCAGGTTTGTGACAAATATATCCACAACTATCGAAATACACGAAATATCCAAAAATCGGAAGGTTGTATGACAAATCTATCCACTTCCGTATGAAACTATAACGGCGTGTCAGACGGCGTTAAATTGACTAACGGAATGCTGAATCGATGCCAGCTCACCTGCCACATAAGCCAAAAAGCAACCAAACTTTACACGTAGATGCCAAATAGGCTAGTTGAATAAAGGCAAAATACAGCTGTATATCCACAACTATCAGGTTCGTGACAAATATATCCACAACTATCGAAATACACGAAATATCCACTTTTGTCCACTCCGTTAACTCCGTCAGTTAACTTGATGACTGGACAAATGGTGGATGCTTAGTTGACGTGTTTCTGACCCCACTGAATGACGTGGATTAAAAGAGAAAAAAA